TAGTTATTGCACGTGAGTTGACATTGTTTTACTTGAATAACATAAGCTAACATTAACAAAGATGACTAAATACCATAATAAATGTGTTCCTAATAGTTTGGTCATGTTAGTAAATACTAAAACTAATGCACCATTGTTTTAAAGTGTTAGCAAAACTTCCTCAAAACCTTGATTATTATAATTGGCACTCATGATTAAAAAAAAATACATACAAACACAGACACACACACACACACACACACACACACACACACACACACACACACACACACACACACACACACACACAGATAGGCACAAATACGCATACACACAGAGACACACACTAATTTAGACAGACAAATATGCACAAACCAACATGTGCGCACACGCGCACACACACACACACACACACACACAAACACACACACACACAAACACACACACACACACACACACACACACACACACACACACACACACAGACACACACACACACACACACACACACACACACACACACACACACACACACACACACACACACACACACAGAGAGGATAGGCACAAAGACGCATACACACACAGACACACAAAAATTTAGACACAGACAAATATGCACAAACCAATATGCGCGCACACACACACACACACACACACACAAACACACACACACAATAAGAGGAAATAATCACACACAGGACTGTCTCAATTGAGAAGCTCATATGGTCTGATAGAGGAAATATTCCTGCACACAGACACACACACACACACACACACACACACACACACAGAGAGAGACAGATACAAACACAAACAGACAGACATATACACACACACACACACAAAGATAGACACACACACAAACGCAGACAGATACACACACAAACATACAGAAAGACAGATACACACACAACAGACACACAAATACAAACGGACACACACAGCTGCTCTCACACTCACGTTGTTCTCCTCGTCCGTCTCGTTCTCCTTGTTGGAGTCGGTCAGATAGTCTGTGTTCTCCTCTTCCTCCTCACGCTCCTCTTCCTCATTCTCTGAGCCCTCCTGAACACACACACATATTCACGTCACATTAATGGACAAAACAACATTTATCAACAAAAACACACACATTCATGATCATTTCTAAATATAAATAATTTCTAGCCAGTTTTATTAGAGTGATATCACATGTTTAATTATCCATCATAAATATGATGCTCAATTACAGCCATAATAAATGTGTAACAGGTCAAAATCTGCTCCTCATCGTGATTTATTCACACTCAAACTGGCTCTAAGTTTATTTTTATCCTGAAGTGTTGGTGGTGAACAGCCACTGACTATCACAGGAGAAAAAACTATCAATGGTTATCAACAGCTTTGGTGGTGAGCAACTGATCACAGAGCAGTGGTTTTGAGTGAGTGAACTCTCCATCATATCTGTGCAGTGGCTCTGTGTGCGTTTACAGTGATGATGTTCACCTCCTCCTCGGGTTCATTCATCTCGCTCTCGTTCCCGGACTGCTCCTCCGTCTCCGCTCCTCCTTCATCTTCATCATCATCATCCTCTTCATCCAGAGCTTCACTCTCGCCCAAAGAGCTGGAGGAGCGGCCGTCCTTCTCCAGTCCTGCACAACACACACATAAAGATGCAATCATCATCTCTCCTGTCACATGCTAATTATGTTTCAGATATTTCTCAAGTGATGTTTCCCACAGAGCATGGACATTTGTCACATGACGTGGTCAGAATGTGGGCTCGGTTTAGGGTTTGTCACATGTAGTTATGAATAATCCATGGTGATTACTATAGTAAGTGCACTGAACATGTGTAACTGCGTCACCTTAAATTAAAGTGTTACTAGCCTTCTTTTAGTTTGGCTGATATAAAAATAAAAGATTTAAAAAAAAATAGATATGAAGAGTTCAGATGCAAAAACCCTAAATCAGACCTCTTTTCTATAAAAGCAAATCCACGTCTGCTTTCATAGCACAAACCTCTACATCCACCTACTGAGACAAGACAGCGTAATTAGCTGAACATCACTAAAGATGAAAGTAGAAATTATTTTACCAAACAGAAAACACACACACACAAACCACCTAAAATACAGAAATCTATCAAGTAAGTGGCGGTTCATTCCACGGTGGTAAACCAGGGAAAAAGCAGAACCTGTCAAGAGATAATCCCAAGGTTTCCATAATCCTGGACCTGTCCTGTGAGACTCCGGTTACAGACGAGTCTTTGTTGACGTCCAGCGTTCTCCAGCCTCCGGCAACTAGACTGCAGCTCTGCACAAGACGTTTGGCCAGGGGAGAACTGGTCGTGCTCAACTGAGCCTGGTTTCTCTCAAAGTTTTTTATCCTTAACTTTCGCCAATTGGTGAAGTTTGTTCCTCCACTGTCGCTACTGGTTTGGGACTTGCGGAACTGAGCATGGATGGATTTGCTCCTCAGTGTTTGGACTTATTAAACCACACTGAACTGAACTGAACTGAAGTTAAACTCTGAAAACTGCACTGACACTGTTTCAACTCACTGTAATCTCTATGTGAAGCTGCTTTGCCACAATCTACATTGTAAAAGAGCTAGAGAAATAAAGATGAACTGAATAATAAAACTATTGTGTGTGAAATGTGCTCTCTGCTAAACAGCACTTGGGAAATATTTAAAGAGGAACTAAAGATTCAGGTGAAGGTGGCTGATTTTGTCTTTAACAGTGTAGGAGCACTGCTGAGGCACAGAATAAACCAGACACACACACACACACACACACACACACACACACACACACACACACACACACACGCGACTGCATTCCTGGAAGACTATGCTGAGAGTGTGTGTGATACTGCAGGAATGCCGCTCTTCTCTCTTCTGTTCGCACACGTCAGGCATAAACACATGAAACGAACCCGTGTGTGTGTGTGTGTGTGTGTGTGTGTGTGTGTGTGTGTGTGTGTGTGT